ACCCCCCTTCACTGGCTTTACTCTCCATACTCTCAGCACATGTGGTTTTGTTGAACATGTTTTCTATAAAATTGAAAGAGAACCAATGTCTGACAGTGTGGGACCCACACGTGAAATGTCGTAAACAGGATCACACTGTAAGCGAGTGGCGATGCTCACCACATACACAACAGGTTTTCTGAGTTACGGCTCTTCTTCGTTGGTGTTTGGGCGTGTTTCAAGATCACAGGAGTCCTTCTGCACTGGATTCTGTCCAAACCTAATTACATGGTTGTTGTTGTTTTCTTGCAGTGATTTTCCAGCCAGTCTATATAGAATATCATTTAATTTGTTGTCTGTGTTGGCCACCACCGACTGAATCATTCTTCAAACAAACTTTGCAGGGGTGAAACCAGGTAATGCCAGTGTTTTATTGAAATTCCCATTCAGTGAAACCAGATACTCTAGCTATGAAATAAGCATCCAGTCTGGTGCTTTGTCTCTATCTGGTGGCTTTTTCTAAAATGTCAACCTGTACCCAACTTAAGACGCAAACAAAAAAAGTATTTTAACTCGCTGAATTGAGACAGAAAATTTGGAGTGTGAGATCCCATGAAGAAACCACATGGATTAGATCTGTCCATAAGGCTTCCATGGATCTGTAACAAGCTCCCCTATGTTGGACACTTTGATACTGCACAGTTCCTGACTGCTGATGCAGTGAGGAAGCACCAGTCGGCTTTAAAGGACACGACAACAGGTCAGAGGCAGAGAAACTATCAAGAGGCATGAACTGTTTGTGACTGTTCGAGTCTGGAAGTCGTTAAATTACAATAAGTTCAAAGTATGTTTTGGAGAAGACAAATATCCTATTCTTTGAAAACAGACAAAGTACCGGAATCTGTTCTAATTTGTTAAAGATCTTTGGTGGTTTTGCTTTGCTTAATAACATATCCTGGACCTTAAGCGGCCTACTCTTGTTGTATCTGGAGCTTCTCTGATTCTATCCATTGTGTCCTGTACTCATGTGATTCATGACATGCAGGAGGGTGACGCGTATCTGATGAATTACAAGATACCCCACGCATTTGTCTTTTACTAATCCCTCATTGTCCCTGTCTGCCATTGAGAGACGATTCATTTTGGTGAGCAGCAGAAGCTCGGTGGAATTGAATTACGTCCCATCTGTGCTTTTAAATGCCGCTTTTTTCCTTCGGCCTTTTCCTGCTGTTGATGGATCACTGTTCCATTCTCTTCCTGTTGTGGCTTCGTTTGACCAAATGTGCAGTAGCAGGAGGAAGGTGGGTGGCAGACTGCCTTGAAGATTTGACAATGACTGATCTAAATGGCCCAAACTGGCAGGGAAAGTGTTGACTTAAAAAATAAAGTAGGAATGTAACTGTGAATGAGAAGCAACAAGCTGCTCCAAGAAGCACAAGCATGGTCATAAAACCTTTCTTGAATAAACTACAGAATGAAATGCTGCTGGACTGGTTGAGGTGCCTGAAGCTTAGACCTGGCTCAGCTCACTATTATCATGTTATCCGTCTTTGTGTAACACTCTAAAGCTTTGTTCGCCAACGAGGAGGTTGACTTTCAAGGTTGCTGAATTGTTTTTGGGTCAGGCCCTGGCTGGCCCTAATCTCTATTTAGAGGAGAATTGCAGTCCCATTGCGTAATATGGTCAGACAGAGAAGAGGAAAGAGGTCAGCCAACTGAATGGCACCTGTTAATGTACGGTAAGCCAATGCTGCCCCATTAGGCAGTGAAATACCTCATCTTAAAGTTGCAGTTTCCTCGTGAACAAACAAAAGTTTTGTTTTCATTCCATGTTTCCTTTTAAAGGCATTATGTACAACAAATTTAACTGTGCTGAGTTTCATTTTCTTCCTCATAGAACGATGGCAAAGCTGATTTTTGAAAACACTTTTTAATCTGTGCATTGTTTACATCCAGCAGTCTTCCTCCCTGCCTTTTGTTGGTGCATTACCACATTTGCATCATCATCATCAACTGCCACTCGTGAAAACATTGCTTCATAGTGTTACTAGTGGTCAAAGGTTACACAGAATAACTTTCTTTTTTTAAACATTTTCATTCAGCTTCATTCAAAACTGTACCATCCATCTTGCACATCTTTTAACCTTTCAGAACAGGATGGCTACCAAAGACACTCTAAGATACTATCGTAGGCCGTGGTTACACTTTACAAGATCGGAAACTTTGTTTATTACCGGATTAGCGGAGCTTTGTTGGCGGCTGTTGTTCAACAAAACAAGTGAAGGGAAGAAGAGTATGCTGAGTTTTATTGTGAAAATTTATAGGAAAAGGTTTTACAGCCATTACTTTGACCAGGAAATATATCCGATCAGGCAGGTTGCATTGAAGTGTCAAGCGTGGACACGCACCCAAGCACAAAAGACTCATTGAAAAGACAAGTGTAACCACAGCGATGGATTACAGCACACTACCTACCGGGCCTTAGTCCTGTAAGTCTATAAATGCCAACTGAAATTCACTGTTCCTTTAATACTCATTTGCTTATTGACCGCTTTTAAGACCTGGCGACTAGTAACATGACAAAAGGGTTATCATGCTGTAACTGTCAAACTGATTTGACTTAAGATCTGATGAGTTGTAGACAAATCACTACATCGTCTGTCTTCGGGCAGTGCTGGCGGTGGAGCCAAATGTGTCCGATTTCTCGACAATGCACATGCAGACCGTGACACCCAGATCATGTTGATCTTATCATTTTTCCAAGTAACATCCACCTGTCCCTGAATGTGTTTTTGAAGTTGAATAGTTTTGTATCACTTGCGTGTCACAACAACGCCGTGTTGCAACATGACATGTCAGTTATTTGAAGTTTACTTTTCTCACGCCTAAAGGTCTGCTGAGGAGCCAGCTGCATGACAGCAGCTGAACACAGCTTAAAAACTACTGGTCTGACCACTTAACAGAATGGGAGCTGCCTTCATACCGTCTATTCACAGACCCAGTCTGGAAAAGCACTTAGCTCTATTTGTTACCCAGCTCAGAATTCCTACTTAAAATACCAAATGCCCTTAACAGAGGGCATTTCGACATGTCACAGCAAGCAAAGGACAAGTTTGATCCAAGAAATAATGTCTGAATTCCATTTAGCTGCTTGCGTTTCAGCATCCTGGTGTTGTTCATGCTGCCTCACTGGGACACTTGAGTGCAATGAAGCTATTGTTAATGTTAATAGTAACAATTGGCTTTTTTTTCTTGCCGTCAAGTCAAAATGTCTGCTGTAAAAATCAAATAATGAAAAAAAAGGCTATTATGTCTTCACATTCAAAACTTCCATTGGTGCACATTACAGTTTAAAGTGTCAATGCACTAAAAGAGAGCACAAACATGGATAGATGGTCTGTTATTTGCTAAGGACCTTTAATCTTTAACAGTAATTTAGGACAGACGCTGATCTGAAGGTTAGTCCATACCAAGACAATACTAATAAGTCACTTGCCTTCTTTTACAATGCTGGTGTGATATGACATTCTGCTTGCTTGTGAAATACTAGTGTGTCTTCATCAGACAATGAGCTTCTTTTATTTTTATTTATTTTTAATGCCTACTCCTCTAAGTTGCTATACAATTGCTGTTTATTGCTGACTTGCGTGACAAACGAAGCTACTTTAAAAGTTATGTCTCAGCGGAACACAACCACGATAACATCCTTTTATCGTTTTCCGTTCAAAGTCCTTTTAAATCATTAACTATGAATGGGATATGAATACAAATCTCCACATATTCTTCAGAACAATGAGAAGTTTGTTGCATTTGCATCAAGTCGTGCAATATTACCTTAAATTATGCTATCAATCTCAGCTAACTGTGGCTTAGTGATAGAGCGGGTCATCCTTTAATAAATACATCGACGGTTCGTCCATGTCCTTGGGCAAGACACTCGACACCAAAATTGCCCCGAGGGCTGTGCCTATGGTGTGTGAATGGGTGTGAGTGCTCAGTTAGTCCTAATGGACAGTAGCACCTTGCATGGTCGCCCCTGTCATCAGTGTATGAATGGGTGTGAATGACATGTACTTGTATAGCGCCTTCCGACCACTCAAAGCGCTTTTACACTACAAGTCCATTTACCATAGTAGGCTTCATGCAAGATAACTCTTCAGTTACAACCGTTAAGGTTTTGACTGTTGAATCATGCTAGATTACATGGTTTCCCTCTTTTTTCAGGTTAGTGCAAGAGCACCTCATAATGTCTGTGCAAGTCGCTGCTGCTATTCTGTATAATGTCATCCCGTAAATGTGGTCAGGTGGTTTGGGAAGGCCAAAAGCTGTTAGGTGTGGTCGAGAGTTTTACCTGTTGGTGAGTTGCAACGTCACTTGCTAAATCTGCAAATTTCTGCTCTGTCTGTGATTTCGACCTAATCTCATCAGAAAGGCGTACAGGTAGCAGGACAGGTAGCAGGACATTTTAGGGAAATTTCCAGTGTCATGACAATGCATTTTATGCTTTTTCGCGTGTCATTTTACGCCACGTCATTACTGCGAAACAGCTGCAGTTGGGTTAAGGCAACAAAAGCACATAGTTTACGAACTTATTTTAAGCACAACTTTAATGTTTTTCCTAAATCTAACTATGTAAACAACGTAACATAAGAAACATGTCCCAAAAACTGACACTTTGGGACACGAACACATGTCTCTCGGTCGAAAGTCCTGTGTTGTTTGACCCACCCGCCATAAGTTGTCTTTCTCCCTTTTTACACTCTGTCACTTACTCTGAGTGTAGCATATTGATCTGTATGCGTTTACGTTGCAGTCAGGACGGACTACATGGTGTAGAATGAGCCCCTAAAAGCAAGAATAGCTTTGTCTTTGCACGCTGGATAACTTGCTTCAAAGGAATTGCCGGCACAATGAGTTGATTATCATCTAAAGGAGATGCAATCGTGTCATATGTTTTTATTATATAGAGGATGTGACTAATTGTCAAAACATCTTGTGTTTGTCTTGTGTTTAATCTGCAGATTTGGATACGCGCCTGTGTCCATATACTGCTGTTCATCACGCTTGGGGTACATTCAAGTAAATTTGATGTCAACCCAGTGACAGATGACATCTCTAGACTCTCTGTTTTGGTAAGAACAATGCTGTAATTCATTATAACACTCACTATCGCTTTACCATACAATGAGTAACTATCAGATCATAATCATGTCTGTTGCTATTAAATCAATTCTGTATCTAGAAGGATATTTAATGTTAAAATCCATATTCTTGCCATCTGCTTTATTGGCAAAGTTTACATGAATAAAGGTCAAAAGGTTAGGGAGTTCAAAAACATCTTGACAACAAGAAGAGAAAATCAACTTAAAGGCACACTGAGTAGGATTTGTCGGTTGCCAACCCCAGATTTACTCTCGTATTGGAATTAGCTTTGTCTGCTTTGCATTTCTGAGGCACTGTGTGAGCGATTTTTGTAGATTCCTCTTGGATACTTGCTCACAATCTGGCGCCTATTTGCTTTATTTGTATAGAGGTCGTTGCGTGCAGAAATGTCCCGGACTTCTAGTGGGTCATAAGTGATGATCGAGAAGGATTATTTTTGTGTGAGTTCATACATTGTTTTTTAGGAAAATCCTAATCCTTCTGCCTTTTAATAAATGTAAACAGCTCCAACAAGAAAGTGGGAAGCAAACTTGCTTTGCATTTAGCTCTCCAAATTAAAGTATTCGTCCTGTTCTGGCAAAGAAGAAGTGACTGTTTGTCCACATGCTGCACAATTGACTTGCTGGTGTATTAAATTTAGATCATTATTTATTTGAAGTTCTTTTAATTCCAAACTCAGGTCTGCTGTTATTTAGAAATTAAATGCAATTTGTCTGCAATTTAATGTTTTTCTATTTTTTTTTTCTTTTTACAGAGACAAAATATTCCTAAAGATTACAAAATTCCTGTACACTACGTTCCAAAAGAAGAGGTAATCCGCTCACAGTAAATCATGGGAAATAATACATTTCCAAAATGTAGTATTTTCATACTGCCAATTTTTTAACTTACAGTAGAAACCTTTGAATTTGCAAATGAGCAGATGTCCTTATTATTCATGCTGACACAAACTTTACACACAAGAAACCTCTGGTTACCTTTTCCTCAGCTACACCTTCACGCCAAACTCTGGCTGACCTTATAACGAATGTACAGTGTAAATATTGAGTCATCTGCCAAGTGGAGTCTTAACTGTAAAAGTAGCATGTGACTGGGAGGATTATTAGACTTTGCTGGATATGCAGTCTATTCAGAGCTTCCTTGTTGGTGTTTTGGTAAACCTGATTAGCACACTGTATGTATTTAATGATGATACAATAATTGCTCAATAATTGCAATATCTCTGCTCTTCTTCTTCCAGGGAGGGATGTGTTGGGTAAAATTAAACGTCTTCTACTTGGAAGAGAGTTTGAAAGGTTTAGCGCATAAGTTTGGAAACATTTCATCCAACAGAAAAGATATTAGCATATTCATCCAAATGTTCCAGGAACTGCGGCTCAACATGGGGTCTGTGGTAAGTTCATATTGTGGTCGTACCGTTATTAAACGTCTCCAATAACAGAGGGGAAACATAGTCTTTTGTTGTTGCAAAGTACAAATTTGGAGTGCTTTGAGAAAAATATCAAAAGCTGAAATCCATAAATTGTCGTCCTTTTCATAGTATACTCTTTAATAATAAAAGGTGGTGCTTGATACTTAAGCTCTTATAATCTCCCTCTATATCTCACACAGACTTACTGTTTGCTCTCTTTCTCCCTCACACATCAAATTTACTTTAAAACAGACTCCTACGAATCAAAGTTTTACGAGATTATGGGTCAACACGTTTCTCACTTGTTTCCTCAGTTTCGTTGTTGTCTGTCCTTTCACTCGTAGCTCTGAGGTGAGAGCATTTAGGCTTTTGTTCATTTACAGTTTCTGTGTGAACTTCACAATAGTTGTGCAGAACAAAATAAGCATTTATAAGAAAAGGAAAGTCCTCTGTTTGGTGTCCAACACCCTTCTCACAGCTGCAAACCGTGACTTGAAACGTCCACTCCGTCGGGCTGATAACACCGCTAGACACACTGCTCGCTAATCATGCCATTAATGGCTTACTTCCTCCACATGTCGACACTAGAAGCAAAGCATTATAATATGCAATAATAACTGCACAACAGCTGCTAGTATAGACAACAAGCTCGACAACACCTGTAATCCGTTGTCCATGTTGAATTAAGCACTGGTAGTCGATCGGTAATGAAGGCTGTTTGTTTTCTTCTGGCGGCGTGACGAATCAGGGAAGGACACGGCGTGACTGCTAAAACCCAATCAAGTAGCGAACGCGGGTGTCGGCGTCATCGTTTTCAAAGGTCCCCGTTTCTGCCCGTCCACACTACGACGCAACCCCGGAGTTTTCAAACTAACACGGCGTCGGTAGCGTTTTGAAATGCCTCTGTTTTTTTTAATTCAGGAGTAGTGAATGCTAGGAACAAATGTAGTAAAAGATACGCATCTTAAAACAGAAACATAGTAGTTTTGATGGAGCCTGAGAAACTAGCATGACTGACAAACATTCCCCATAGTGCGTAACAGAAATGGCTGGCTTAGTGGTTGTTGGTGAGGTCAGTGTACTACTACTACTACCAGTAGTATAGTCTGCTATACTGTATATTCCAAAGGCTCTTTCGCTGATAGCTGGTTACACTGTTATCCTATATACCTGCATATACCTTACACTTCTATAATGTCAGCCCTTACACACAATGATGACCCTAGAGTTGTAGAACCTGTTGTTGATTTTTTGTTATTATATGTAGGTGATGTGACTAATGTTCAAACGTCTCTTTGTTTGACCTGTGTCTTTGCAGGAGCCGATCATGTATGATTTTGAGTGCCACTACAGGGAAGAGAGGTGGCAGACCGTGCGGTACTTTGACTTCGTCAAAGACTTCCTTATAGCTGCACAGAATAAAGAAGATTCAGATGACTGTGATCCTTCTCCTTGTCCCACAACACCATACACAGCAACAACAGAAGGATATTTAACTGGTAAATGTTTATTATATGCAGTATTTACATAAGTTGGCCTGCTCTTTGTGCTTGTCAACAGACTTTGTAGTTTGGCGACTTTGCATGTCGGTGGCACTTAATTGACAAAGAAAAAGTAACTTCAACTTGAGGTGTGACATCAAAGAAGTACAGCAGGTTTGTGTGTCTCTTGGTAGGCATCTGGTTATGACATCAATGATGATCAATCATTTAATATTCAATTTCATTGTGCAATCAGCTTTTTCTACCATTTGGCCACTGCATGCAAGACAACAAATATTTAGTCATAAATCAATCCAGTTACTTTTAAGAAAGAAACATGAGAATTAAATGATGATTTTTTCTTTTAATGACTATGACAAGATACTTTTGGGTATATTCACTGTAAAAATTGTAAAATAATCAATCAGGGGAGTAAATATAGACGTGCCGCAATGGTAGCCCCTGGAGTGGGTGGCCTGTAAAGAGAGTGGGCCCCACAACAATGTGCTGGACAGAGAAAGTGCCCTTGGGAGAGATTCGGATTACCAACTCAGAAAAACCTCTGTCTTCAAAAAAGACCTCACGTCAAATTCAAAATTACACCATTTGCTATCAATGCCTCAAAAAGGCAGACCTATCCCCCTCATAGTTTTTCTTTTTTTAAATCATGTTTTAGGATATGGATTGTAACATGACATAAGTGTTGTCTTTTCCTTGTTTTAAAGGCTGCACTACAGTAAAGGGATGTAATATTCTTAATTTACCAGCCTGTTCTAGCTGTCCTATTATTTATAGTAGTCAACTCCACAATATCGAAAGATATTGTAATTTTTGATTTTCTCCATATCGCCCAACCACAAAGATGATTTCTGGGTAATATGTATGTTGATGTTGTCCAATGTCAAATCTCTTATTTGATCATGTGACGAGACAATACGATGAACAGCAGCTTATCTCTATAAACAGATTCTGCATTCGTGTGTGGAAAAGATTTTGGTTTCTGTATAGTTTTGACCGATCACATGTTAGCAGGCTTTGGTTGAATGCAGGTAAAGTAAGTCTTGGCCCAGATATCCGCCGGCTACACCGGAACCCCGTCGTCAGACCGATAGCCGACGTGTGTAGAGATAGTACGGTAGCTAGTTTAGATGCAAAATCTGTCGAAGCTGTCAAGCTGAGCAAGCAGTTGTGCTTTGCAAAGATAAAAGGGGCAGTAAGTAACTTGGACACCGCAGCACTTTTATACATATTTTCCAACTGTGATTTATAAAACCTGCCAGTTTGGATTTATAGATGCTCGTTCGTTTGCACGTTTGATCACCTTTGGTTTTAAATTGTCAGCTCTAAACTGTTCAGACGTTTTATTTGAGCAAAGGAGGGGAGGAGGTTGACTGAGACAAGCTTATGGTTAAAAGAAAGAAAATAAGACACAGCTATGATTTCTGACCCTTGCGGAGAAAAGCTCCGACATAACCTGTTGCGAACCGGCAAATCTCAGGCGTTAACCTAGTTATTTGACATGTTTCATCCCCACAATGAACCGTACATTGAGCCCATCTGGTGTTTGATGTAAGCCATGGGATGCTACAATAACACAACAAGACTGGTAAAAGATAACAGTCAGACCAAGCTTTCTCTGGCAGAGACTCTTGAGTGTGGATTTCTCTCCTCATGTGGCATGGGAGGGGCGGAGACTCAACATCAACATTGCATCTACATGGTGCCGATAAGTGGGATGGAGCCCCGTTTTGGGAAAGAACTGCTGTGTTTTTTTCACATAAATGATGATCTCACCAATCTGCTAAGACTATGTCTGCGAGACAGTGACTTACAGTTGAGATGGGGTTGGAATGAACTGGCCCATGAAGAACCTGTCAGGAGAAAGATGAGATCGTTTGAATGGCTGCCAACAAGACATTCTACATGTGATCTGCAAAGGTTAAATAAATAATTCTGGGAACATTTGCGTAACATGTTGTCACATTGTGTTACTAATTATTGGTGCGTCTATGCTGACAGTTATGTATCCATTACCTCGCTGTCAACGGGTTTTTAGGGAGCTTTTCTTTGGAAAAGTCATTCCAAGAAAATGTGTTTACACAGCTGAGATGAGACACATGACAGATGGGGATATGCCAAAACCTCAGCAATCTGATGCTAATGACATGTGTTTTTTTGGAGTTAACCAACTATTTTATTGTTTTAAGTTCCAGCGTGCAGGACAAAGAGGGAACTATTGGTAGGAATGTAATATGTTTTCATTAGTGTATAATCATCCAAATCCAAGAATCGTTGGGTTTGCGTTGGTTATGAGCCGTTTATATCGACATTGGTTGGACCGCAATGTTTCTACAGTAGCCCAGAATGGACAAACCAAACGCTTATTTACATTACCCGAAGGCCGCAGCAGTTCTCCGGCACACTTGTGAAACTGCGGTAACGTGAGTTTGCTGAATGCAAAACCGTGGTGCCGCCAGCCGCCACCCCGAAATGCATTGCGTCTAAAGTAGGCGAGGTGAAAGTCCTGAGAGACGCCGCGGCGTTACCACGTTAACGGAGTGAGCGGAGGTGTGTTCAGTTGGAACCCCACCACCAGTTGCCGCTAAATTCTACACACTGGAACTTTCAAGTGTTTTATTGTCCAAGTTAACTATTTAGGTCACACTTCCCTCTCATTATTTATGAGCCGGTCTACAAATTCAAACCAGCCACATTCCAGTTGACCTCACCCTGTTAAACCCCGTCGCCCTCTTTGGTCTATTGTGAACGGGCTCCATTTAGGACAGATCTCTGGTGGCCGCGCCGAGAAGCATTCAGTACAGGAACCATTATCTCTTCACAAGAACTTTGCAAGATAAAAACTGAAAACGGTCTCCGTGCTTAGACGGCCCATTGAGACACGGCTGAGTCACAGGACTGAGGGGAAGGTGTCCCCAGGTAGCGCAAGTGAAGAGGGAAGAAAAGGGCCGAAACCTGATTGTGTACGTGTTGATTACAGAGCAATCTTCCCAAGAGCTTGGAACGAGTGGTCGGATTCGATGCTTTGTGTGTGTGTGTGAGTGAGTGTGGGGTGGGGGGGGGGGGTTAAAAAGGCAGCGTTGACTCGACTTTTTAGCACCTGACAATGAAATGTTTTCACCATACGGCAATCACTAACCCATCTCTTTCTCCCCCCCCACCCCAGTATCACCACCGTCCAGCAGTGAAGAAACAAAATGTGAAACAACAAGCTGCAAATCACGTAAGTTTGCAATTCTCAGCATTTCAGACAAGTCAAGTGTCAGGTCTGTGTTCTGGTGGCAAAGCCAGCCCAGCTGGTGTGTCAAAGCGGCAGCTTTTGCCAGCGACAGTATTTTGCCACATTCTACAGCAAAGTCAGCCCATTGCCCACGGAGCTGCTGTCACTTGAGTAATGGCGCTCTGCGGGGCCAATCCCTCATCACTGTATGTCTCATTTCTTATCTTGTCTGGCTTTCCTCGACCCACCTTGTTGAGGCCCTTGCAATTTGCCACATTTTTTCTTTTAAATAATGTGAATTATTTACATAGAAACAAAAAACTGTATGCTTAATGAAATTTCAGAATACTGTGAAGCGGTTAGAATAACATACTAGTGGCTCAGCTGAGCACTTTGTCTCGTGAAATGGAAGATGACTGATGAAAGATATGATTCTTGTATTTTTTTGTGGCCGTCTGGTGACTTGGTTTTGACAGCTTGACAATCTTTTTTCACGTTGATGCGCTGAAGGTTTTCCGCGCTCGACCCAAATCTGAGCTTAACACGCGTGCTCACCGCCGTGGTTTTGTGACATCTGAACCATTTTTTGACGCCAATCATGCCAACATGAGATTCATAGAAACACAATCGGAATCAGAAACGGTTTTATTGCCAAGTGCGTTACACGTACAAGGAATTTGGCTTCCCTGTATGTTTAACATACTTGACAATAAAATCGTTATACAATTGTGATGTGGAAAAGTCCGCTGATTAAAACTTCACACCAATTGTGGAAATATAGACATTGAAAGTTAGATGAACAATGAAAGTGACACTAGAATGAGGTTAAAACAACCCCAAAATCTCCAACCTTACATGTTTGGGTCTAATTATTGTGAAGGAATAACAACTATTTTCAAAGTCTCTTGCATTATGATTTGTTACTAACAGTTTAAAGAGTCGGAGGGGAGGAAGTGATGGTTTTTTTTCCCCTGTTTTGTTTTTTTGTCCCAGATACTGGAACCCTGACTGATGTGGTGGAGCGAAGCCTTCTCTCCTTACTGTTCATTCCACTCCTAGCTCTGATATTCCTGCTTGTGTGGAAGGTGAGCTGACCTTTTACCCCCCGTCACTAAGCCGTTTCCTTTCCCGAGGCACTCCTGGTTTGTTAGTGTCCTGTTTTATTGTCGGGAGATACCGCTTTGTTCCATTGAGTTTATGACGAGCCGGCGTCAGCCTTTCAACTTTCTGCCGAGGATGTGCAGACTTTGTAGAGCCGAGTTATCTTGATTTTAGCGGAAATGATTTCAAGACTTGGAACTTTGGCGTTAACAGTTATTTCCTAAAACAGGTCCGATCATGTAGGAACGAGGAGGATCTGCAACAGAATCCTGCAGAAGGTGGACTCTTCACGGGAACAGAAGTGACTGCACCTCCACTAGATGCTGAAATATCAGAAAAGTGAGCTGTTCTTTCTTTCTCTTTGACATTGATCGATTGGTCCTGTAGACTAATGTTTAGATAAATATGTAATAATATTAAAACAGGAGTTAAAAGCTAGCACATGACAGCTTGATCAGAAGAAGAATGAAATGACGGATATGCAGTGTAGACTTTATTTCAACAGTAAAACTGTGCACTCTTCAAACAGTGGATATATCCAGAATAACCCAGAGGATGTCATCAGGGTGTTTGGGCTTGAGGCTTGATCAAATTTGAGCTTGATAACATTTTTAACAAAAAGACTGCACCACAAAGAAAAAGGAGAAGATTTGGGGGGAAAAGGCCATTCAGCAGACAGGAGGGAGCCTAAAGAAATATGGGACTCGGCTGCATTATGGGAATTGATGAATCCTGCATTTCTTTCGAACTTGACCCATACTAGGGACCAGAACTAAGGATATTTCGGCCTCTGCTGCTTCAATTTGGACCCTCCTTTTTCGTATTCTGTCTCTTTTGACTCCCGCAACTTACATACTCAATTCCAGTTGCACCCCTTTAAAGGGGGCCCACATCACATTATAGTGCCGGGGGCTTTAATGTATCAATATATCACTCTGGCTTTGGCTGTTGACATAATAATAATATACCTGTTTTTGGAGATTAATCGATACCTGCAGGAACAGAACTGAACTCTTCATTCTATTGATTGTGTCCTTGCCAAGTTAAACTTTTATTTTGTACGAATTCACAAGCGGATCAATGAAGCACAGAAACGAGAGCTTCTGACCCTGAGATTTTAAAGAGTCTTTGCTGATTCATCAGCCGTGTGGGAAGTGAAGTTCACTGTCTTGACATTTCTCTTTCTGTCCAATTACAGAAACATGTTGAACGTCATCGAAATAGTGTAATAACGCTGCTACCCTTTGATGTCCTTCAGCGTTAATTGGTGAGATTTCACGTACCATTTTGAAAATCAAAAGCAAATCTGTCTTAAATCCTAACCTGGCAGCTGAGCTCTGAAACCTGTCTCCACACACGTTTCTCTCTCACAGGGCTCTACTCTTTTCCCCCTGTTGGTGTCCAGAGGGTGATGAGGAAAAACACAAAAGAAAAACAATGAAGCTGAATTCCATAGCGCGAACGCAGAAGGTAAACGGCTTGTTTTCGACTGCTCTCCAGATTAACGGTCACAGTTGCCGTGACCAAGATTCATCTGGAGGAACCACGCCTGCTACCATATGGATAAGCTTGCCTTTCTTGTAAGACTGCATTAACCCCGTGCTTCTGACAAAGACTAAGATTTAAGCAGAGCGTAACCCCCCCGCCCCCCCACCCCACTCCCCAACTGGACTCTCTCTGGCTCCTGAGAATCGTCCACCAGAACCTGCTGCTCCATGAACTCTTTGGGGGAGGACCCCCACCCACACACTCCTTCAGCACCTTGCAACAGTCGGGCTGTGGTTCATCTCCAAACCAGCGGTGCAGAGAGTGACTGACACTGGTTATCTCCTGTATGAACTGAGGCATGAATTGCTACCTCCAGTGACCCAGGTCTTTAACAGCTCTGCGCTTTCCTCTCAGTCCGGGGTTTCCCCTCAAGAATATAATGTTAAACATTGTAGTTCCAACTTGCATTCACGTCGTCTGGTTTAGGCATGTACCCACGGGGGTGTATGATGTATTTATTTATTGGTTGCAGCACTGAGCTGCTGCTGTTGATTACAACTGAGATGTGTCAAGCAATCATTTAAGAGCACCTCTACTAATGGGTCACATTTAAGGAACAATCTTTATACTAACGCATCGTATTCCCCACCCCCCCTCCCCCCCCAAAAAAGCCCCCCACATTCCTGAACAAGTTACATTTCCTCGTACGATGTTGTTGCTGTTATATATGGTATATATGACTCGGGTGATTTAGGTCGTGTGAATGGATAATATGGAGAACCAAACGCATATATACGAAAATATGCTGCTTTGACTAACTTACATTTAGACCATTAAAATCTGCAATGACATTCTGCTAACGAGTATCAGGGATGACTTCTGTGGATCCAGGATTTGTTTTTCATTCTTTTCAGAAAGCATGTAAGACAACGACGGGCCTCCCATAGTTAATGATACCTCTATAATGCCTTTATTTTATTGAATTATCTCACCTTTTATGCTTGCAAAGCAAAAAACTGTTACAGAGATGTTTGATGGCCATTCATCGATGAAAGAAAAAGAAACTCAATCGAAAAGAGTGATGAGAGTGATTATACAAATGCTATATAATATAACATTTTTAAAACCTATCAATTCCTGACTGTTCGCTCCATGACCAAATATACTCGCAAATCCACCCCATTAGCTTGGACTGTTCACTCGTCTGGTTTGATCTGTTCTTACTACTTTTGCCTTTGTCCAGTATCAGTGTTGTGCTTGCATAATATGACACATTACAGACAATCTGACAAAGCTAGTTAGTGCATTCATCAAGATTCAAATGCTAATGAAGTGCTGAAGGATGATACCACTGTTTGTGAAATGTTACAGACATGAACCTTAGTTGTTTTCACAATCCACAAAGCTCGCCCACATGGGAATGCCGTGCAGACCTAAATATCAATTTTGCCTTAAAGTTGCGCCATAACACACTGTTAAAGGAGGTGCACTGTTTCTCTGCGGTGCACAGAGATCCAAGGGCAGGAAATAACTGACTGGTAGTCGAATCCAAACCGTTGCCGTAAGGTTGTTCAATCCACAAGTATCTGGCGATAAGAACTGAGACACCCTTCAGGCTCATTCCGATATGAAGTCAATGTGCCCCTCCCAGCCTCTGTTGCTTTATGCACTCTCAGATCTGAGGGTGCTCTCTGTCTCAGTGATAACAGATCTTATCAGAGCTGTGAGGTGAAAGGCAACGGGTTCAAAGACATTGAAACTATGGCAAGCCGTTTAAACTTTTATTATCTAAGTTTGAGTCTCCGGATTTAACATGGCAGCTTTTAAAGGGAGACGAGCAAAGACATTTTTGCACATTTCATGCACTTGTAAAATTTGAGGTTTTGGGCTATTTTTCTTCTTCTTTTAGAGTAGTAGAAATAAAAAAATAGAAAATACACATTTAGGTGTTTATTTTAAATCCACGCTGTGGATTTATCCTAAATTCGCTTGAAGTTACAGTTAGATAATGGCTCATTGTGAATCTTGCATACATAACTTTAAAGTCAATTTTCTATAAATTCGTTTTTTCTCCGATTTTGAGCGACGCATCTCCACTTCAGTAGCCCTTACAATCACATAACATACCCTGAATTGAGGGCAATTAAAGTTGTCTTAAACTGGAATTATGACTTCTCAGAATTAAATTGTAGATATCTGAATTACATCTTGGCAAGGCAACTTTATTTGTATACACATTAAATACAACGAGGCAATTCAATGTGCTTCACAGGGTAATACAAATCAAATCAAGTAAATAAAAAGATTTAAAAAACAGGACATACTTCCAAAATTCAGTTGCAGGTCTGCAACAAAGACAGGACTTACATTCAGGAGAGCGCTGTTAAGAGTCCCCTACGAAACTAAAATGAAAGTTAACATGTCGCGTCCGTCATTGTCACTCATTAGCCGTTAGAGTTGTTCGTTCCTAGATTTAACGAAGGGGTTTTGTTGCCTAACCCTAAACTTCCTGTGAAGACGAAAGTTAATTAAAACAAAAAAAGAAAAATGCATGTACATTGTTGTTTGAAGATCAGTGTCACAGACCAAGCTGCGTTATTTGAGGCATTGGTGCGAGGATGTGTTGGAAGTAGAGCTTTGACAAAGCAAAATGACGTTGCAGATATCACCAATGAACATCCAGTCTAGCTAATAAATGTTCAATCGGCTTGCCATACCAAACGGGTTGACTCCCACAAAGCCATGCCCAAAGTAAAGTAGGCCAACAATGGCGTATAAGTATTAAGATATGGCGTGTGACGATCAGTAAAGGGGTAGGAGTGTGTACAGGGCACGCTGGCTGTGACCTTTCCCATCAGGCCGCTCTGCTGCGGGTAGATGACCGCGACAAAGTGGCAGGACACAAACATCTGTTTCTAGATCTAGTTTAAATATTTCTATCATGTTTATGGTCTTACATTGTACCATATCCATTTTTGGTTTTGTGCCTTGTTGAGTGTGATTGACTCCGTGTGTTGATGTAAAAGAAAAAGCCTCTGTTTCTGTGTGGTAGCAGAAAGTGGTGAGGTGATTACAGGGCAGATTAGAATAATCTCACTAAAATACCCCAACAGATATGTTCCCCAATCTCTCTCTCTCTCTCTCTCTCTTCTTTTTAAAACTCATAACAGTTTAGTTGACTTGACCTGTGCCCAGTTCTGATTTGGATATGTGAAAACTCTTATCGGCAGAATAAACTGCAGTGGTTGTGACATTTCTTTCCATTTTACCCTTTTTAACCTTTAGGAAACAGTTCAACTGCTTGTTTCATGTGTATTTGGGTCTTAGGATGAGTATTTTGTGCAAAATTGAATCTGTTTGAAAAGAAAAAGATACAAAGTATACCACATTGGTTTTCATATAGTTCAGAGCAACAGTACCTTTCAGCATCAATAGCTGGGATGTTTTTGATGAGGTAAAGTATTGTTTGTTGTTTTGAACTGCAAAATGATTTTATTCAATCAAAAATGCATTTTTGAGGAACACCCTATTGGCGACATTAACTGTGCCATATTCTCTATGGCAGTTTAGATTCTGTGGTAGAAAAAGTATACCACATTGGTGTTAATATAGTCCACAACGACACTTTTAGCAGGAATC